CCGGTATCTGGGACTGCACTGCCCATCGTGGAAAGCGGGTCGGGGGCCTTAAGAAATTGTGACTGCGCTATTCCTGGCGGGGAGCAGGTTTCAGTGGTCTCCGGGGTGTCACTGTCCCGTACAGGGGGCTTTTTGGGCATCATATCTGTGACTGCATGCCTCACGCCAGGGGGTGGATTGGGGGAGTTACCTGGTGCTGCAACACCCGAGGCGGGGACGGATTGGGGTCGCTATTGGGTTCTATACTGCAGCGGCGAGAGGGGGGTATTAGGGGCCCTATCCCGGGGCCAACATCAGATGGCGGGTTAGGAGTGCTATCAGGGGCTGGGCTGCCCTGTCAGTGGCGGCAGAGGGTGCAGCAACAGCAGTAGCAGTGGTCTCCAAGGAAGGAGCCTTCCTCCTCCGCGGACTCCAGACTCTGAAGGGCGATTTTTTCCTGCTCCTGCTGGAACTCGGCAAGCACACAGCATTTCCACAGGAATCCTGGGCACAGCAAGGCCCCCATACCCGCCATGGTTCCCGGGGCTGCGCCCTCTAGCTCTGTGTTGCAGAGACCGACTGGGACCGCTAGGCACGTGGGACCCGGGGTAGCTGACACCGCTGGGGAACAGGGCTCTGTGAGTGGTGGCATCATGATTGGGAAGGGGCATTTGGGGAGGAGGGCTGACTGGGTCTGAGTTCCTGCTGGTTCTGCCCCCCAAGGAGCACAGCCCTGGTGAGCCCAGCGGTTCCTGTGGATTGGGGAGCCGGGCGATGTGTTTCCAGTCCTCACTCCAGGCCCCAGTTCCTGGCCAGCTTGGGCCAAAAGGAGAGGCTGGACTTGGAAGGGTGGATATGAGTGCTTTTACTGAGACCGGCCCCTGCCACCCAGTGGCCACAATGACAAGGTGAGGCTCTAACGCTACCACATCCTGCATTCTCCTGTAGGCTTTTTTGGCTTTGCCTGTCCAACTGCTCCACGCCAGGAGGCGGAGGAGGCGAGGCACATGTTGGAGGCTGGAGCCTGCAGATGGCCTGGGGCTGCCACTGTTCTTGCTGCGATTGGTGGCAGCTATGGCTACGGAGACTGCAGCGCGCCAGAGCGGGAGGAGGATGGCCGGCTGCGGCCATGGCAGGGACAGGGCTGTGGCGGTGGCCAGGTAGTAGTAGCTTTGTAGGGGGAGCCAGTGCATTTAGGGCAAGAGCAGCGCTGGTTGAGTTGACATTGGTGCTGGGGGTGCAGCAGCAGCAGCAAGTCCTGGGACTGGGAAGGGGGAGTAGGAGCGCAGCGGGGCCTGCCTGGCCAGGCCTTGGGTGGGTGGGAAGCTTCTGGTGCTGTACCATGGGCCTCGGTGGAAGGGGTGGAGGAACAGCAAGGGCAAGGAGGAGCCCTTCCCTCTTCTCCTGCAGTCTCTGGAGGGCGGCGTCCTCCTCCTGGCACAGGAGCCAGATCTAAGTATCAGCATATTGTCTCACTTTTTTTTGTTTGTTTGTTTCTGAGAGTCTGGCTGTGTCCCCCAGGCTGCAGTGCAGTGGCACAATCTCGGCTCTGCGCAACCTCCGCCTCTTGGGTTCAGGCTATTCTCCTGCCTCAGCCCCGCCAGTAGGGTAGCTAGGACTACAGGCGTATGCCACTGCGTCCGGCTAATTTTTGTATTTTTGGTGGAGATGGGGTTTCAGCATGTTGACCGGGCTGATCACGATCTCCCAACCTTAGGTGATCCACTCGCCTCGGCATTATTTAACAAAAATTAGGACGTGACTATTTGTGTATCTTTTTGCTTTTTTTGTTGTTGATACTGGATTTATTCAAATTCCATGAATCAGGGAGGGGAGAAAAGGTATCAAAATAGGCCTTCCAATTCCCTCATTTGTTCTTTTCCTTTCTTTCCAGTCTGTGTTTTCTTCTTATCATCGTCTTGCTGCTCCGTCTCTTGTTTCCTTTTTTCCAACAGTGGCCTTAAGAAACAACAAACCATAACT